GGATCCCCGCTAAGGAATAACTCTTCCTGCGACTCAAATTTCGACAAACTCGTCACTCGTCATTTTTTAGCCAACCAAATAATTAAAAAAACTTCAAAGAGAGTTAAAGTTCAGGTTTATTACATTGCCTTGCATATTATTTTATTCTTCTGTGCTGCATTGTATATTCCCATTGTTGTCAGTATCCGAAAACTGCAACATTTAGCATCGCCGATGAAGAATAAGCCACACAAATATATTTTGTATCAGTCTGAAAATCATCGAAAACTCAAAACTTTGTAGTGATCATTCTTACTTTTTTATCCCATTCTTGATTTGTAACTTTTACAAACACGAATAAAGGGAAAATTAGAACCAAAAGAATAACTACTAACGAGACAACTAGAATCGTTAATATAAGTAGAACATAATCTTGCCAATCTTCAATTTGTGAAGTGATAGATTCCATGCTTATTGAAATTTGACTAAAATCTGGAGTTTGGACAAAAAATTTAGAGTGCTTTTGTTCTTAGATTGATTCAAAAAGTGTGATTTTGAAGAGAAGGAGACAACAATATGATTAAATTCTGGGTTGCAGCATTAAAAAGGGAAATATTGTTTTTTGTACTAAATCGACTATACTCTTGTTGAACAACGAATATGAAACCGAACCGATATGCAAGATAACCCTCATTTAACAAAACTCGGAATAGGTAACATCGATTAAAAACAACTTGAAAAAATTCATTTAACAAAAACAGTGAAATCATTCATGTAGTCGGAACAACTGTCGCAACACCAACTTCTCGTCGCACATACGGTTCTACGGAATTCCGCTTGAAAATCGCCCGATAAATATTGCTCAGCGTTGGATTTCTTCGTCCAGTAGTCCTCTTGTTATAAAGCAAGTATGAAATTTGGATAGTTAAAGGAGTGGAAAGTAAATCGAAAATGATAAGATTATAAATACCATCGAAAGGCTGAAACTATTGAATCTTTTGCTTTTAAAATCGATAGTTCACATACCTTAAAACTACCAGGCAAAGTCAGAAACATAATAAAATGTGTCTGAAATGAAAAAAAGAACAATCGCATAACGACTGAAAATTTATAGCTTTGATTCTAAAAGTTTGAATGGTAAATTAAAGGTTCAAGCGCAATCTACCAACTTAACAATCTTAATCATAAAACGTGTCTACTGCAATAATAGAGACATTTTTTAACAGTTAGTATTTTTTTGGTAGAAAACTCACAGTCTTAAAAGTGATTAAAGTTATAGTTTGATTCAAAATATATTTATGTTGCTTATTCTTCATCGCCGATGCTAAGTTTTGCAGTTTTCGAATACTGACAAAAATGGGAATATACAATGCAGTAAAGAAAAATAAAAAACTGTGCAAAATAATGTAATAAACCTGAAAAAAATCGCTGGAGGATTCTTAAGTTCAAACACCTACAAATAATTCCTCAGCACCAACTGATTCAACAAGTGCTCTATACACTAGGAATAAAATGATTATTAAAACAGCAGTATAACCAAATTTGAATGTCCCTTTTGGGATTTTTGAAAACAAGTATTTCTCCGAAGAAGGGAAAAAATAGATAATGAATCTTTGAAGAGCCAAAAATGATAAAATGATATGATGAGTATGACATATCGTGGTCATGAAAATTGTCAATAGAGCGGTAAAAAGAATACCATGCCTGAATTTTTTAACACTGTTCAACTTTATTTAAAAAACTAACATTTTCTTATTCCAGAGAGGAGGTCCTTCGGTAAATAAATCAATAACGAAAATGGCAAAAAATAAATAAAACCAACAAATTGCTTTGAAGAAATGATTAGTTATTGGATAGATGGAAGTCTGAAATTTATCAGATTTTCGAAATTTTGAATTTTAAAAAAGTGTTTTTACTTCTTTGTCCCATTCTCGGTTTTTAATTCTTATAAAGACAAATATAGGAAATAAGAAAATCAAAAGTATAAATAGGACCGAGACAATAACAATCGATAAAGTGGCTAAGGTGATAAAAATTAAAAACGACAAACTTAGATGTCTTGATGATTCTTCAATTTGTATAGTGGTAGATTCCATACTTAAAGAATTTTTTCTTGGAATCGTGAGTTTGATCAAACAATTTAGAATACTCCAATGTTCGATTGATTCAAAAATTTTCAAGAGTAGCAGACTGAAATTTTATTAAATTTTCGAAAAATCGTAAGAATTATATTTTGGTTTGAAAACATGACAACCGCTTTGTTAAATATTGGGTTGTTTTATGTAAATGTCATGCTGAAAACTTCTAATTAATTTTCGCTGTGGTTATGAAAATATTTCTAGTCTAGAAATGATATCATAAACAAAAAAAGAAGGTTTATTGCTCAGCGTTAAGCTTGAAAGTATTAAATTGACTATACTCTTGTTGAACAACGAGAATGAAATTCAAATAGCATCGATTAACGATAAATTGAGAATGTTATCCACCGAAAACAAAAATAAATAGGTAGTTCAAGTTGGCGGAGCAGCTGTTGTGACTTCTTCCAATGACGGCTCCACAGTAGACTTTTTGAAAACTATCCGAAAAACATTTCTCAGCGTTGATCGTTTCCGTACATCAGCTAAAGTCTTCTTGTTACATAACAAATATGACAATTGAATAGTCGCTGGAGTGGAAAACAAATCAAGTACACAAAGAAAAGGAAAATTCTGTAAATGAAGATTTTAAAATTTGTGAGACTCCTGGAATATGTTTTTGAATAATTTTAAAACGCCTACATTGGAGAAGGCATCTCCGCCGAACACGAATAAAAGTGTGGTAAATAATTGTGCCTGAAACACAAGTTAATTTTATTTATACAAGGAAAACTCACTATTTTGAAAGCAATAATAAGTGTAGTCTGATACATGATATACTTATGTGGCTTATTTTTAATCGATGATGCTAAATGTTGCAATTTTCGAATACTGATAACCATTGGGATGTACAATGCAGCACATAGAAATAAAACACTATTCAAAGTAATGTAATATATCTGAAAATTGGAGTATGGTTTTGTTCAAATTCGAAAGAAGAAATTCATCAAACACATGTAATTTGTTTAAGAAATGCACTTATCACATCTTCAGACTATCTTATTTTCTTTTTTAAATAACTCTAACATAAGGCGCGAAAATTATTTGGGCCTTCGTGCATTTTTGAATTTCGAAAGAAAAATAAACCCACTAAAAGCCAATTTTCTTTTTCAGTTGACTTATCGAGGAAAACCAGTAATGCGAAAAGCAAGAAAAACAAAATGTAGATCCGTATAAACTTTGGTTTTCTTGGTGTTATATATGGTTCAAGAAAAGAGAAGAAGTAGAGAAGAAATCTCTGAATAGCCAAAAGAGACACAATTATATGATGAGTATGACAAATGAGAACCATAAACACGAACATAGCTGGAGTTATAATCGCCGAAGAGAAGAATACAATGAACATTGCGAATAGGAGGAAAAACAAATAATACAAACAGATTGCTTTGAAAAAATGATTAGTTATTGGATAGATTAAGGTCTGAAAATTGTTCTGATTAGTCATTGGATAGATGCAAGTCTGAGAACTTCAAAAATATAGATAATTCACCTCTCGATCCCGTTCTCGATTCAAAATGCTAGTGATCACAAAAAGAGGAAATAGAGCAATTAGAAGAACAATATACAAAAATGCAACAATTGCAAATAAAAATAGTATCATAACAGATAGCCAGCCGTTTATTTCGAACATTTTATAAACTGGTGGTAAGGTGCTCGATTCCATATTTAGAATGGTGTTTTATTTAGACGAATTGGTGCAAAATGTTTTCTAATAAGGAGACATAGGCAGAAAACTAAATTACATGTTGAATTGAAATGGCTCAATTGTGTATCAAAAACATTTAAAGCTAAGAGAGAATTCAGATCAAGAAAACAAAAGAGTGCTTGAAAAACATTTTTTAAAGTTCATGTAGGCGGAGCAACTGTTGTAGCATCTACTTCTGGCACAGACGGTTCTACTGTAGACTTTTTGAAAATTGTTTGATAAATATTGCTCAGCGTTAACTTTTTCCGTAGAGTATCTAAAGTCCTCCTGTTACATAACAAATATGAAATTTGAATAGTCAATGGAGTGGAGACTAAATCAAGAAAAAAGAAATCCATGACTATATCCTGGATTTCTGGATAATAAATCAGAATAGGGAAAATATGTCCCTGAAATGAGAAAAAATTATAGGATTGTTGAAACGTCAAAGATCAAAAAAAAAACCTACCAAATTGAAGCTCAAAATAGTTATAAACTGGTACAAAATATAAATATGAGGCTTATTTTTAACTGATGATGCCAAATGCTGCATTTGAGAATACTAAAAATCATAGGGATGTACAGAGCGGCAGAGAGAAATAAGACACTATACAAAACAATGTAATATACCTGAAAATGGTTTTTTTTGCTCAAAAAAGATTGAAAACCCACAAGTAGGATGTATTCAAGGTTTGAGCCTTGATAATAAGAACTGTCCCAGGCAAAATAAAACACTAATGCGGAAATTATGAACACTATCAAATATAAATATTTGAATTTAGGTTTTTGGCTCTTCGAAGTGATGTATGGTTCGGCGGATGGGAAAAAGTAAAGAAATAATCTCTGGAAAGCCAATAAAGATAGAATCAAATGATGGGTATGAGTGATGACAAGTAGAAAAAAGAAACAGTATGGATAAAAGGCAAAGTCATTTCTGAAATGGATATTTTGAAATACATAATTTGAAGGTGGTAAATTTTCAACTGTTTCAATTTATACAAAAACTTATGAAAATGAAAACACAAAAAGTCCCCGAAAAAACGGAACATAAAATTAAGACCACACCACCAGTGATTGTGTAAAACTAACCTTCCATAAAATTCAGAAAAAAATTGGTCTCGAAAATCATATCAATCCCAATAATGAAGAGAAATAAATAAAACCAACATATGGCTTTGAAAAAATGGTTAGTGATTGGATAGACGGAAGTCTGAAAGTTATCGAAAATTCTAAAATTCTAAACTCTCACATGGAATGACTCCCAAGTGTTACCCTCGAAAAATCTAGACCTTTATGGTTGAATAGAGCATGAAAAGTTATTTTAGGATCCGATCAAATTAGTTGGTAAAAAATTTTTCAGGAGTTATGACCCGAAACGTACCAAAAAACGACAAAAAATCATAACTTTGTCAGTTTAAGCTCGTTTAATTAAAGGTGGGGGGACAGGAGATTTTACGGAGGATTTTTGGAGCCGGGGTATGCATTCTACCGTAACGGTGTACAACGCTTAATGTCAATCTGCGTACCGCAGTCGTCCTAACCCTTTTGTTTACCATCGGGCGAGCGCACCTCCTTTGGCCGCGTGGCTCAGTCGGTAGCTGCGCTGTACCCCTGAGCTGCCCATCATGAGTTCAATTCCTCGAGGGGCGTATTTAGAAGGAATTTCGAGAACATTTTTTTTCCTCTCTCCCCACCTTTAAATTCAAAAAATAGTAGATAGACAACAAAATGAACTTTTTAAATAATTTTTTAATTTTTTCCGTATTGATTGGATCATTTATAGAAACAAAACCGAAAACTTTTTTTTAATATCTCAAAAATCTCAAGTTCATTTTTTTCCAATAATCCAATCATTACGAAAAAAAACTTTAAAAACTTATTTTGAAAAAGTTCACTTTGTTGTCTATCTAATCTTTTCTGAATTTGATTAAACGGGCTTGAACTGACGAAGTTATGATTTTTGAACGTTTTGGGTCATAACTCCTGAAAGAAAAATGTAGCAACTAATCCGCTTTTTGAAATAACTTTTTACTGCTCCCGGACATTTTGCAACCGGACATTTCGTAGCCGCGCCATTTCGCAGCCAGACATTTCGCAGCCAGACATTTCGCAGCCGGACATTTCGCAGCCTCTGATAACGTCAGAAAATCAGAATTCCAAATTCTTCGGTTTTGAAAAAAGTATATTTTAATGTCAGAAATTGAATTTTCGAAGAATTCGGCTGAAAAGAATCAAATTTCAGCTGAAAAAATAGCAAGCAAGTATTCAATCAATGGAAAACTGCTAAATCTTCATTGTTATTCAGAATTTCTTTTTGAAATATAAGATTTTAGAAAGTTGGAATTCTAGAAGAAAAAAAAGAAATTCTAAAAAATATCATAACAGTGAAGATTAAGCAGGTTTCCATTGATTGAATACTTGCTTGCTATTTTTTCAGCTGAAATTTGATTTTTTTCAGCCGAATTCTTCGAAAATTCAATTTCTGACATTAAAATATACTTTTTTCAAAACCGAAGAATTTGGAATTCTGATTTTCTGACGTTATCAGAGGCTGCAAAATGTCTGGCTGCGAAATGTCCGGGAGCCCTTTCTACGCTCTGTTTGACGGTAACACTTGAGAGTCATTCCATGTACCATTCTTACTTCTTTATCCCATTCTCGATTGGATCGTTGTACCATCACAAACAAAGGAAATATCAAAACAGAAATCACTATAAAGATCAGAGAAACAAGAACCAAGAAGAAGCCGAAAAGACTTTTTATCGTAAATATGAATTCCTTAGTTTGCAGTTCGATTGTCGTTGTATCCATCATGACTGAAATTTTGAATATGATTTTAAAAAGGACATTTTCGAGCTTCCTAAAATCAAGAAATCGAGATTTTTATTATTTCTGAATGTTCAAAATTCCCGCTTTTTTGAATTTCCGATTTCGTAGGAGGGCCCTTTCGAGGCTCTTCTACTAGAGGGGCCCTTCTAATACAGGTTTAAAGGTATATGAATTATCATTTTTCGAAGCAAAACAAGAAATCTTGAACAATTTTGGCTAAAAATTTATGATCTAACAGATCAAAAAGTTCTGAAAGCTGCAATGCTCGATTAGTTCGAAAATTTGCTTCACAGCAATTTGATTAAATATCGGGTTGCTACATGACTTTTTCAAAATGACATCTTTGATCACTTATCTAAAAAATTGGCTTCAATTTTTTGAAAATGAACATTTTTTCAGCTGCTGAACGCATACCTCACACAGATTAAAATTTGAAAAATTTCATTTAACGAAAACAAAAAGAAGTTCATTATGGCGGGGCAGTGAATTGATGCACAGACGGCTCCACTGTAGACTTTTTGAAAACTTTCCGATAGATATTGCTCAGCTTCTTCCATACAATACCTAAAGTCTTTTTGTTACATAAGAAATATGAAATTTGAATAGTCGTCGGAGTGAAAAGCAGGTCGAATAAGCACATTTGAGCAAATCGCTGAAAATGAAGGTTCTTCAAAAATAGATCTACAGCACCAGTCAATAAGATAGACGAAAACGTTTCTTTTCAGTTGATTTTGACCTTTTGCAAGAGTCTGGAGCTCGGCTTTTACGCTTCTGGTTACTTTGAAAATTTTGGAAAAAACTAGACCCAGATGGAAACCTTTGCGTTCACAGAATTTTTAAAAATAGACCTAGTCGCGAATACTGGGATCTCTCCTCCTTTAAATAACAAAATATACCATCTCTAAATCCTCTAAAAAATCATCTCTTGTCATTTTGGAATAGATAATGCTGCATAATTGTGCCTGAACTAGAAAGTTGTCTGGTTCTGAGAGAAAAATTAAAAACTCACAGTCTTGAAACTGATAATAATTACAGTCTGATACAAAATATATTTATGCGGTGCATTCTTGATTGATGATCCTAAATGTTGCAATCTTCGAATACTGATAACTACAGGAATATAAAAGGAGGCGGAGAAGAATAAAAGTCCATTTAACACAGTATAATATATCTGATAATTAATGAAACTTTTGATTCTTGATTTTAAAAAACTCACCATACTGATTTTTTCATGTTTCCAATTAATGGCATAGGGTCCAATTGAAAAGTATGATGAACCGAGCAAAATACAAGCCCATACAAACAAGAGTAATAATAAAGAATTAGTCCAAAGTTTTCTTGGTTTCTTTGGTGTTAGATGTTGTTCGAGACAAGGGAAGAAGTAAATGAAAAATCTCTGGATAGCCAAAAATGACAAAACAATTTGATAGGCATGAGAAATAGCCGCCAGGAAAATGGCCAGAGTTGCAATCAGAAAAAGTACGAAATTACTTAGATAGCTTATAACAATAAGTAAAATGAATAGATAATACAAACAAACAGCTATGAATAAATGATTGGTTATTGAATATATTGAAGTTTGGGTTGATTCCGTGCGTCCAGTTTTTGCCATTTTCGCCTAAATCGTAGAATTTTTTAATTAAAAAAAATCAGGGAAACATGGGGTTTTTCAATGAAATTGGTGTTATTTTTACCATCTTTGGTTCAGGAAGATTAAGTTATTTGTGATCAATTGTAAGGTTTCATGAAATTTTTTTCTAAAATTTTCAGTTAATTCTTCTGGCTCTTCCGAGGTTAGCGGAGAGTTCTGAGCATTAGGATAACTCAAAATTTTTATTTTCGAAATTTCATTATTTTAAAAATATATACCTCGTGTTCCTCTTGATCCCATTCTCGATTCATAATATAGATAATCACAAAAAGAGGAAATGGAACAAATAAAAAACATACATACACAAATAAAGCAGTTAGCCATAAATAAGTAAAGTGAACAGGTTGCCAACCCAATCGAGATAAAATTGAATTATCTGATGGTAACATGCTAGATTCCATTTTGAATGATGTTATGTTTACTCAAGTTGGTTAAAAAAGTTTGCTTATAAAGAGAGAAAATTGTTGATTATATGTTGAATTAAAATGTCGTTGTGTCTGCTCAGTTATATTTCAGAGACATTTTAAAATCGAGAAAACTTTAATCATGAAGTTTTTTTGAGTTTTTTTTTGTTTTCTGAAGAAAAATTGGTAAAGCCGGAACAAAAATTTATCATAGATAAGCATTATTACAGTTTCAGAGCTTCGATGAAAAATAATGAAGTTCACGTAGGCGGAGCAACTGTTGTACCATCGACGTATTGCACAGACGGTTCTACTGTAGACTTTTTGAAAACTATCCGAAAAATATTTCTCAGCGTAAATTTCTTCCGTACATCAGCCAAAGTCCTCTTGTTACATAGCAAGTATGACAGTTGAATATTCACCGGAGTGGCAATCACATCAAGTACGCACAGAAAAGGAAAATGCTGTAAATGAAGATTTTGAAATTTTGTGAGACTTCTAATCAGAATAGCGTTGTTATTAAAAAACACAAACCTGGGAAAAAAGCTCTCCCTTCACCACACTTTCGACCGTGGAAAACATTTGTGCCTGAAATAGGAAGTTAGGTCCTCGAAACAGAAAAAAAAGACTAACCAATTTGAAAAAAACAACAAATATAGTCTGATACATGATATATTTATGTGGTTTATTTTTAATCGACGACGCCAAATGTTGCAATTTTCGAATACTGATAACCATTGGGATGTATAAAGAAGCACATAGAAACGAAATACTATTTAAAGTAATGTAGTACGTCTGAAAATTATGATATTGAAAGTTTACGTGGGATTTCGATGAAAATTTTAACTCACAGTATATTTTTTTCCTTTAACTAACAAAATCGGAAAAGATGGATTGACCATTACAAGCGTCCATATACAAATAAGAAGAGTATAAATACGTTTCAACTTTGGTGTTTTTGATGTTATATATGGTATGAGAGAAGGGAAGTAATAAAGAAGAAATCTTTGAATAGCCAGAAGAGACAAAATTAATTGATGTACATGACAAATAGCTGTAATGCACATTAACAGAATTCCACTCGGAAGAGGATCGTAAAAAAATACAGAATTTATTACGAAGATCAACAACAATAGATAATAGAAACAAATAGCTTTGAAGAAATGGTTTGTTATTGTATAGATTGCAGTCTGAAAATTGTAAAATTGTTACTTTATCGAAAACTTTCTCTTCCACTCCCCAAAGATCTTTTAGATAGTTCAAAATTCAGATTATTTGAAGTTGTAAGATCTCAAAAATAGACAACTTACCTCTCATCGAATTCTCGGTTTAAAATATTAGTGAGCACAAATAGGGGGAATAAAACGATTAAAAGAAAAACATTCAAAGCTATAACACAAATAGTTAAAAGATTAAATAGTACTAATAGCCAAACATTTAGAGAATAATCAAAATTTATTGAATCAAATGTGCTAGAATCCATATTTGAACGATGTTATGTTTACTCGAGTTGGTTTAAAAAAGCTTGCTTATAAAGAGAAAATTATTGATTATATGTTGGATTAAAATGTCGTTGTGTCTGCTCAATTATATTTCAAAGGCATTTTAAACTAGGATAATTTAATCAAAGAAAATGTTTTGAAATTTATTTTTGGTTACTGAAGAAAAATTGGTCTACCCGGAACGAGATTTATTATAGATGAGTTTTGTTTTTTTTTTTAATTACAGTTTTAATGCTCAATTTTTAAAAAAGTGAGCATAAAAAAATCGAAATGAAAAATTGGGGGTCAAAAAATCGAAGTGAAAAATTGGGGGTCAAAAAATCGAAGTGAAAAATTGGGGGTCAAAAAATCGAAGTGAAAAATTGGGGACAAAAAAATCGAAGTGAAAAATTGGGGGCCAAAAAAATCGAAGTGAAAAATTGGGGGCCAAAAAAATCGAAATGAAAAATTGGGGGTCAAAAAATCGAAGTGAAAAATTGGGGACAAAAAAATCGAAGTGAAAAATTGGGGACAAAAAAAATCGAAGTGAAAAATTGGGGGCGAAAATATCGAAATGAAAAATTGGGGACAAAAAAAAATAGAAGTGAAAAATTGGGGACAAAAAAATCGAAGTGAAAAATTGGGGGCGAAAAAATCGAAATGAAAAATTGAGGACAAAAAAAATAGAAGTAAAAAATTGGGGGCCAAAAAAATCGAAGTGAAAAATTGGGGGCCAAAAAAATCGAAATGAAAAATTGGGGGTCAAAAAATCGAAGTGAAAAATTGGGGACAAAAAAATCGAAGTGAAAAATTGGGGACAAAAAAATCGAAGTGAAAAATTGGGGGCGAAAATATCGAAATGAAAAATT